AAATCTAAGATATAAAATTTAAAAATGTATTTATTCCTATTTTATTTTCTAATTATCAATCATTAATAAAATACTAATTTAAAATCTTATCTAATTATATCATAATATTTTTATATCAAATTTAAAACCAAATATTAGTTATACAAAAATATTAAGATCATATAGAAAATTGTCAATAAGATTCTAGTTAAATAATTTAAATAATTAAATTTCCAATTATATTATTAGTAAATAATTTATTTCAAAACTAATCAAGTTTTTCTATATTAATTATTAGTACAATTTAATAACTTTTAACTTAACAATTGGATCGATGAAATTCAACATACAGTATGAGTTATCGAGCGGAATAACTTTACAAAGAATTACTTTGTGAGTCATTTGATTCCTTCTCCTCTCTCTCTCTCTCACTCTCTCTTTTTTTTTTCTCTCTCTCTATATATATATGTATATATATATATATATATAGATATAGATATTTAAAATTTTATTAATATTTTTAATTTATGATTGTCAATTTTCATAAAAATTCTTATATTTTCGACAATATAAATTTGTTGAAAATATTTCACCAATAATATAACTTTTCTTATGAATTTTTTTATTGGAAATATAAATTTTTCAAAAAATTTATATCTGTCAGAAATTATCGACAGATATATCCGTCAGAAATATAAATTTTCTGACAGATTTGTATCCGTCGCAAATTATCCGTCGGTAAAATCCTTCGAAAATATAAATTTTCTGATAGATTTGTATCCATCGAAATTATCCGTCAGTATTATAATTTTTTTACGAAATTTTTTTCGTCGAAAAAATAAATTTTGCAACGGATTTGTATCGATCAGAAATTATCCGTCGGCAATTTACATTTTTCTTGTAGTGTATCCCATTTTGATGTGATCGAGTGGGTGCTTTGATTGCAAAAATTATTGTGTTGATTTGATAGGGTGGAGTCACTTAGAATGATTATATTGTTAGGAGATATCTATAGATGATTGTGTAACAATGTATTGGTTGAGATGTTTGCATATGATGTATGTTGTGGTGTGATCATGTGCATTTTGAATGTCTATTTGACATGGTTTGCTTGGGACACATGTTTGGCTTTCATGTATTGTATGATATAAAATTGTTTCTATGCTTACATGTTTTCAAACTCTAACTTACCCTTTTGTTTTCATGTGGTTTGAACTACGATAATCATATGTTATATAATAGTATATTAGGGTTAATTAGGCTGGAGGAGTAGTGGCAATGAGTTCGCAGACCCTTTCGTTGGTGTCAATGCTACTAGATGTAACTTGTATAGTTGAAATCGCCCAACACTATGGCATACGATTATTTTGGGATTACTGTATACACATATATATATATATATTGTACCTGTCTGAATGGCACACTAGTAATCTTCTTGTATTCTGAAGGTCAAACAAGAGCTCCAAGTGAATATTCCAATGAGAGGGAAGATACCTGCAAAAGGCATTCCGACGCTCAAGTCAGGACAAGCACGAATATTGATAGTAATTAATGAACAGTGACATTACTTCGAGATGTGAACTATTTATAGTGACATTAATGGCCTTGTCCTCCATGGGCCCTGTACTAGGGTTACCTGATTAGGTAATACACCTCTAATTGTCTTATTCATATGATAAACCCTTAATAACTATTTAGGGATGATTACAGATCCTATGGACTACTTCGTTCAAGGTTCTTCGGTCATTGGTGGTGCCGATTGGGTGTCGGCAACCAGATACAACATGTTTGGCCGATCCGGTAGGATCGTTCTCGGCCTCCATTTGGGTCGACCGGATGTAGGTGGCCGAATGGCCCTACCCGTGTGTGTGTGTATATATATATATATATAGAGAGAGAGAGAGAGAGAGACATATTTCCTTCTCTAATCTTTTATGTTATAGTAATCTAATTTTCGTTATTAGTTGTAATGATTCCATTTAAATTACTTATATATATTATAATTTTTTTTCACATATTAAATAATATATATTTATTACTATAAAGTAAAAAAAGTATATATAGGTATATATTATTTTTAATATTATTGATAATTAATATTATATATATATTTATAACAAACTAATGATTTCATAAATATAAATTAACATACATTAATATAATTTTACAAAAATGTAAATATTTGAAGAAAATCAATTAAAAGTATAAGATATAAATATAAATTTTACATCAAAATATACAAATTTGTCTCTTAATAGTTATATTTTTTTGGCTTAAATATGTTAAAACTACCTTCAATTATGTCAATTTTCAGATTACTACTTTTTAATTTTTTTTGTTTTAATTATCTGACAAATTGTTTTTCTTCAATTTAGTACCTAACGTTAGTCCTCATCTGTTAAGTGATGACATGGCAGACGGACTGCCACGTCATCACCCAATAGTGTCTGCCATGTCATCTAAGGGACTGCCATATGGACATGTTGATGATGTGGCAAATACTGTTGGATGATGACGTGGCAGTCCGTCTGCCATGTCATCACTTGACAGTAATAATAAATTAATAGGTAGTAATCTCAAAATCGACCTAATTGAAGGTAGTAATTTGAAAATTGTCACCGAACTGACCTAATTGAAGGTAGTTTGAACATATTTAAGCCGCACTTGGAAATTTTTTCAAAAGTATCTTAATTCATGGCATAATATAAAACATTTGTTGCTTTTGTTTCTAGTTACATGTGTTTTATGTCTTCTTCATCTTATTAATCTTCACTTTTCTTTACTTCTTCATTGTCTACTATCTTTGTTGGAATTTTTAGTCTATTTTTTATGACAAACTAAAGTTTGAAGTTGATGAATTGTATGAATATTCGCATACGCTCCTTTCACTCAATGTAATTTATGCAATTGAAATATGGTATTACTACCTATTAATTTATTATTTTTTGTTTTAAATACCTGACAAATTTTTTCTTCTTCAATTTAGTACCTAACGTTGGTCCCCTCTATCAAGTGATGACATGACAGACGGACTGCCACATCATCACCCAACAGTGTTTATCATGTCATCACCATGTCCACGTGGCAATCCCTTAGATGACGTGGCAGACACTATTGGCTGATGATGTGGCAGTCTGTCTGCCATGTCATCACTTAATAGAGGAGGACTAACGTCAGGTACTAAATTGAAAAAAAAAATTGTCAAGTAATTAAAACAAAAAAAAATTAAAAAGTAGTAATCTGAAAATCAACCTAATTAGAGGTAGTTTGAACATATTTAAGCCTTTTTTTTTAATAATTCTGATTAGCCTTTTTTTAATAAGCTTATATTTATATTTAATATATTTAAATTCATTAAATTATTCTTTTATTATTAATATATATACTAATAATATTATTAATTATTATTATTAATTTATTAATTATCAATTATATTATTAATGTTAATAATTAATAACGTACTTTTTAATTTATTAACAACAAATACATGTACAATTTTGATTTTAAACAAAAGTGAATACATTATTAGATTAGATTCGGTCATAATTATAATAATATAGATAAATTATTAAGATTCATAAAAAAAATTAATATAATTAATTTTAATTAAATATTTTTTATAAATTTAAGTTTTATTTCAAATATATCATTTACTTTAAATAACTATTATATTTAATACTAGTTTATAAGTAAATACATTGGAACTAGAGTTAATTAACAATACATGAAGTATATAAAAAGAAATTTAACCTAATTTTTAAAATAACTTTTGCTTATAATTAAGATCAAAGAAAAATTCAATTTATTACTTATAATTTAGATTAAATAAAATAATCAATTTCCAAGGCTTATAAATAGACGTTATCTTGCTGGTTAAGTGTTGTTATTGGATGTCAACATCACATTATTATTTTTTCATCCATGAAAATTATTAAGAGGATTTACATACTTATACATTTTTGCTCAATTAACTAAGTTAAATATTAGACCCCTTTATCAACATCTCCCCGTTTGTCATGTCACTTGTTAACGTCATATAATAAAGATATATTAAATTTTTAATAAAAAAATAAAATCACATGATTGTAATATTTAAAGATTAAAAATTTTCAATTAACATTTGAAAATTCAAAATTGCACTATATTTTAACTTTTTCTTTTTTACCTCCAATACAACATTCAATGACATTTTGTCTAGCCTCGAATGAATTTTGTAACCATTTTCAATTCCCTTTACATGTTCCATAGGTAGATAGTCAACGTATAATAAATATATTTTATCATAATTTATTTTAATAAATGAATATAATTTATTATAATTTATAAGTACAATAAAATACAAAACAGAGAAACATAATTTATTATAACTTCTTATAATTTTCACATTAGAAATTCATTCCCATCTAAAATAAAAGTTAAAGTCTTTACATTATATAAAATAGTAAAAATAAAAATTTTTAACACATGATTATAATGGAATATGCCAGTCAGGTACCGAAAAATGTAATCTCCCTTTGCAAATCAGTGAATTGAACATGCATAAATTAGTTAATAAAATTTCAATAAGAAAATAATATACTCATATACATATATATAATACTTAAATATAAACAAATTTTAATTAATTTAACTTTATTTAAAATCAAATATGATTTTTGTTTGTAATGAATATATCTTATATACACTAGCAGGAAAAAAACACTTCATACAAAAAAATAAGGAAAAGAATAAGAAATTATTCATAAAAAATGTAGTTATTAAAAAATAAATAAAGGATAAAATGGTCTATATAAAAATGGAAACTAAAAGTAATTATTGAAAATAATATCTCCTTTATATTTTTTTTTTGTTCGTCCTTGGAGTATTCACTGTCGATAGCGGTGACTAATTTCATTGCTACATTACAGGCACATCAAAGGATGAGATAACTGGCCCCAATATCTCCTTTATATATTAGTAGAGATATGATTCTTATTGAAGTGTGGTAGTGAATTTTTTATCCCTTAATTTTACAAATTTTACGCAACAATAATTCTGAGAGACCCTTGTTCTATATTATTTATTGATCATCTTAGTGTGAGTAGGAGAGACACAAAAATGACCACCATTCTCTCTAACAGCATGAGTAGTGGGCGATTTGGCGGTTTAGGATTTTTAGCACAAGTTCTAAAAGGTCGATGGTTCATGCTTTGTGCCTCTTTCTTCGTCATGGCTGGTGGTGGTTCCGTCTATATCTTTGGATCATACTCCGAAGTAATCAAATCTACACAAGGTTATGATCAAAGCACACTCAACTTTTTGGGGTTTTGTAAGGACCTTGGTGGAAATTTGGGTGCACCAATTGGTCTCATGGGAGAGATTACCCCTCCATGGTTGGTTCTCCTCATTGGATCCCTCCTCAACTTTGTTGGCTACTTCATGATCTGGCTTGTGGTCACTGGCAGAATATACAAACCCCACGTTTGGCAGGTTTGCCTTTACATCGCCATTGGTGCTAGTTCTCAAAACTTTTACAACACTGGAGTAATAACCACCTGCGTCAAAAACTTCCCAGAGAGTAGGGGCACCATATTAGGGTTGTTGAAGGGTTACCTTGGACTCAGTGGAGCCTTCTTGACCCAACTTTACTTGGCCATTTATGGGAATGATTCTGAATCTCTCATCCTTCTCATTGCATGGCTCCCTGCTGCTATACCAATCGTGTTTGCATGTGTGATTCGGATCATGAAGGTTGGAACTAGACAAGCCAACGAGGGGAAGTTAATCACCCAATTTTTTTTCGCTTCAATTGCACTTGCAATATTCATCATGGCTATGATCATTGCTCAGAAACAAGTTGCTTTCTCCAAAGCAGGTTACGCTGGAAGTGTTACTGTGGTATGCCTTCTTCTTATCATTCCTTTGTTCATTGTTATTAGAAAGGAGTTCTTAGAGTGGAACATCAGGGAAAAAGTTGCACACGCACGTACTCCAAATGAGATTGTCACAGAGAAACCACAAATTGTTGAACCTGAGCCTAAAGAATCTCCACTCCCTCTAAATTCTTCTACTTGTTTTGCCAATATATTCAATAAACCTGAAAGAGGAGAGGATCACAGCATACTGCAAGCACTGTTGAGTGTTGACATGATGTTAGTTTTGGTTTCATCATTTGCTGGCTATGGAACAAACGTGTCTATAGTGGACAACTTGGGACAAATTGGCATGTCTCTAGGATACACTGGCAACACAGTGAGATCATTTGTGTCACTTGTGAGCATTTGGAATTACTTTGGGAGGGTCTTGGCTGGTTTTGTGTCAGAAATTTTGCTTGAAAAGTACAAAGTTCCACGCCCTTTGTTGTTGACCTTTTCGCATTTGCTTACATGCATTGGTCACCTTCTCATTGTGTTCTCAGTACCCGGTTCCGTCTACTTTGCATCAGTGATAATTGGATTCTCGTTTGGTATAATGTGGCCAATGTTCTATGCACTTGTCTCTGAACTCTTCGGTCTTAAATATTTTGCCACACTGCAGAATTGTGTGCTCATGATTATTCCCCTTGCATCATATGTGCTAAATGTTAGGGTCACTGGCTTCTTTTACGACAAAGAGGCAACAAAGCAACTCAAAAAAAGTGGCCAAGAGTGGGTGAAGGGCACAGAGTTGACTTGCATTGGAACCGAATGCTACAAGCTTTCTATAATAATATTGGCATGCGTTTCTTTTTTTGCAGCAGTGACTTCTTTGATTCTTGCAATGAGGACCAAGAAGTTCTATAGAAGTGACATATACAAGAAGTTCACCAAGGATGCAACAACTGCAGAAACGGAGTTGACTAAATCCTCGATTCGTAAGGAAGAGCGAGTGGTCAATTAATAATGGAAGAAACTATGCACTATAAACACATCGAATTTTAGTTGACAAATATATTGAGCTGAAGTATGGTTGTGTTTCTCATGTATTTTGTTATGTGTAATGCAATCACACTCATATGTGTTATTTATGATTTCCATTACTTCAAGTTATTGTTGGAAATTCTCTGTTATGAATATTTTCATTAAGATAATTTGCAACTTTTGTAAGTTCTTTTTCATAAGCAACAAAACATCAAAGAAACGAGACTGTGTCTTCTGACTCCTACCTATAAGACCAGTAAAATAACCACTGTTACCAACATAAGAACTACATATTATTCAACATTTTAAACAAATTAGGGATTGAATTAACGAGTGGGGATGATCAATACAAGCAACAAGAACTGAACAACGGGATGATTACGAAGGAAAACGATGGTGAGCAGAAAAGGAAAAACAATGTATTTAAGACAAATAAAAGAAAATGGCTATTGCTCCGGTGCCCTCTTATTTGAAGGGGTTTTGGTGCCCCTCAGTACAAAAGTTGGGTTTTTAAGGGCAATAAGGTAAATTGATAAATTGACTGAAGGCTATCAATTTACCTTATTGCCCCTAAAAACCCAACTTTTGTACTGAGGGGCACCAAAACCCCTTCAAATAAGAGGGCACCGGAGCAATCCTGAAAGAAAATATATGTGTTGCAAAAGTTTAGACATTGAAATGGTCACCATGACCTGAACTTGAGTAGTATATATAGTGACATAGAAGAGTATCACTATCCATACATTAACAGTGTCACAAAGGAAAAGTGTAATGTTGCAAGGCTGAACATGACCTACAGTATATCTACCAAGTTTAAACCTACTTTGTTTACTTCTTATATACATTATTTTAATTTCCAATTTAACCTGTTTAAAAGTTTAACCCGATCTGAGAGCTTATTTTTATAGTATATTTTATAAAATGTTTATAAATATAGATTTAAATAGGTCAACAAATCTTCATCATCACCTAAATTATTCATGTTTTTCTTTATATATAATAGTTGGACTCAAGTTCGAACATAGAACCTCTAATATACTATTCTAATTACTATTACTGTTAGAACGACTTTAATAATTCTTATTCATATTTTGTAAAGAATAACAACAATAATATTACAAAATTCAACTACTTATTATATTACAAGAGAACTGTGACTCTTTTACTAATGGAGATGAAACGCGTCAAATATATTTTTAGAGATTTTAAAAATTTACTATCATTAATTATAATATCGTACCATTATCACATATAGATATGTTTGAGCATTACTCTTGTATTTATATAATAATAACCCTTTCAAAATTTTGAATTAAATTACTTTTGTTAAAAGCTTACTATTGGTAACCGTATGTATATTAAATGTAAGTATAATATATATTACATTATATAGTTTTATATAATATAATATTATTTATTATATGATGAATAAGTTGATCAGACCTAGCATACATTTTTTTTAATGCATAAAACCCAACTTTTTTTTTTTAATTTAAAAGGACTTTTTAAAAAGCTTATACCTAATGCTTTTAATAAACAAGGGAGGCTGAGTCTTTGATGGGCCACATATCCTATTTTCACCTTTTAAGAAAATTAACATGATTTTGGTTTTTACCATCCAAAATCACTCTCCTATTAGTTATATCTTTAATTCTATATTTGAAAACATTTGCTAAAAGAGAGTGTTTGTAGGGCTATTTTTAAATGAGAAAATTTGCTAGGACGCTGATTTTTTATTTGAAATTTGTTTTTCAGTAGAAATCAAAATAAAAAATTTAAAAGTTAAATTGATGCTATTATTTTTTACACATAAAAGAAGAGTTAATCCAAAAAAAAAACGAAGAGAAAGAAGAGACAGAGCACGTGAGGGACAGGTGAAGTGTTAAGGAAAAAAAAAAAAGACGTTTGATTAAAAATGTATTTAATTATTTGAAATATTTCATTTGATTTAATGTTAATTTGATGGAAATAATTATTTATTAATTAAAATAAGTAATTTTTTTTCTTGAACGACTAATTATAGAAAAAAACTATTATTTTATTCTTATAAGAAATTGAAGTTATGTTGATGATGATCACATATGAATTCAATGGATAACTATTGATCCACAAACATGAGGTTCAACAAGTAGAAAGTTGTTTTAGATTAACCGACACCTCAAGTTTGAATTATTGTTAAATACTCATAAAAAAATATTATTGTTCATAGTAGTTATATCTATCTTAAACAAGATTGTTGTTGGTTGAAGATATATGTAGTCTATATAATAAAAAAGTTTAATATATTATTTAATTTCTAAATTTATTGAAATTTTTTAATTAAATTCGTAAGCTAAAAAAATTGTAATTAGATATTCATTTTTCTATATTTTTATAATTTAGTCTTCAAATTTAGAAATTTATTTATAATTCATAAAAAATTATGGAATATTCTATATATCTTTATTCATGAATAATCACATTAAACTATTATTTCATGTCTTCATTTATATATATCAAACTTTAATTTCTGCTTATAAATTTTCTCTCATAGTCTCACTATTCATAAGAATTTTACACACAATTTCTATGAGCTAGTTTTTTTTAAATAAAAAAGATATGTAGGAGTGCAAAAACATCATTACAAGACCAAAACATCCTCAACAACGTTGACAACTTGAGGCCTACTAATCATTTACAACACACCCAATATATAAAACATGGAAAAGTCGAATAACAAGGATCATGGAAAGACTAGACCAAAATCCATGAAACATTAACAAAAATGAAAAGTAGGTAACACACAAAGATTGTAAAAAAAAAAAAAAAAAAAAAAAAAAAACCCCCTTAATATAGGAGGAAATTGTACCCAAAAAAATTGCAGCGATAATCTAACCCATAGGCAACAAGCTTATCAACACAAGTGTTGCCTTTCCTGGAAATATGCAAAGAAAAGAAATTGTAAATACCTCTTCAATTGGCACCGAATAGACCAAGGAACAATAAGAACATTTTGATAAGCAGTCAATGCCAATTTTAAATCACATTCCAATCACAAATATGATAAAAAAAAAAAAAGATATGTAAAAATTACACATGTAAAATAAGGTATTTGAAATAAGAGAGAAACAAGTGTTTGCATATCACTATTCGTATATGGTAGTATTTTTTAGGCCAACTTATACTATTGATCTTTGTATATTATACAATTTGCAATTTTGATCCCCTAGTAGAATGGAAAAAATGGGGCTTTGAATTATTCCACAGAAAAAGTAAAAGTTTAGTTCATAATTTTAACCACTTGTGTGTCAAATTGTCAATCTACACCAATAAAATTTTAAATGTTAATTAATATTATTATAGCATTGGTCATAACTTAACATTGTGTAAATGATATGAAAATTAATATTTAATAAAACTTAACCTAAATTGTACATTTAATTTATATTTTCAAATTATTTTACAACTTTTACAAAATAAAATGAAACTAAAAGTTAAATTTAACATAAATATCTTTAAATATTAATTGTCATATCATTTATTTAATGTCGAATCATGACTAATATTTTAATTTTAATGATCAACAAATTAGAAATTTAACGAAAGAATTAAAATTATAAAATTTATAAAATTGAGAGTTTAAAATTGTAAAATAAAAAATTAGAAATCAAAATTTCATATTACATAATATAAAAAACAAAAGTGTAATTTAATCTAGTTTTCAAAATGTGTTAATCGACAAAGTTACCAATTTTAAGGAAAAAATAATAAAATTTATAAACGAATTTGATTTTATCATTGTAGAAAAATGTATGCTCAACTCAATTGACAAAACTATACTTCATATATCAGCTATGATTTTTTTTTTTTTTAATATAACCACATTTTAATTTCCCTCCAAAATGCGAGAGAAGAAACCCATCAATATAGGTTGAACAGCCCATAGAAAATGTTTGCTTCATGACTTTGAGCTTCTCTCACACAACACCACACAACTGCACCACTTTGCTATTTAACAGTCTCAATTTCAAATACCAACTTCGTGTGATGGATATGAACGACCCTTTGGATTTCGAGGTAGAAGACGCCCTTCTCAAATCCCCTCCTATCAACAACAAAAGGTATTCCTTTCCCCCAAAATTTGCATCCTTTTGCCCCCAACTCTTCAAAGTTTCAATTTTTACCAATTTTTCTCTCTTGGGTTTAGGGTTTTACAGTTCCCCTCTTGCAATTTTATTATAATCCATGCTTTGCGTTATGTGGGCTTAACTTGGTTTTTTCAAACTGTGGGTTATAACTAGCAACTGTAATTTGAGTGTCCACCAGGAAGAAAATTATTGGGTTGGATGATCTTCTTCAAGATCATTACAGAGAACAGGACAAGCTTTTAGAGAAGGGCAATAAGAAGGCTAATACTAAGGCAAAGAAGAAGAAAAGTTCCTACGATGATAAAGATAGCAAGGAAGCCAAGTTGACTAGGATAGTTGAGAAATGTCACAATCAGGCATAGACTATTTACCTATTATTATCTCTCTTTGGCTAAGTTTCTGTGTACTTGGCATTATCTGTTACTGATCACTTGGGTTTTTTCATCCAGTTGAAAGCTTTTGGTGAAGAACAGGAAATTCCCCTCTGGGGAGTAAAAGTTTTTGGTGATCAGGTTATTATACTAAGTCAAATTGCTCAGTCATTCTCTGTACATGGTTTGCTGCTTCTAACGCTTATTTGTTTGAATACTTGTGAGGTTAGTAATGTTTTCATTTTTTTAATGGCAGAAAGCCTTTCCCCCTCTGGAGTTTCCTGATCTTGGAAGTTGTAACCTTTTACAGTCATTTTTGAACAACAAGCTCAATTCTGTGGTGGAATTGACAGAAGACAAAGGTTGCTCCTGTGTCTAGTTTGTTTAGGCTATGATGTTGTTGCTTTTTGTTATTTTGTAATGTCAAGCGACCATCTATTCTTAGTATGGCAAAATACTGAATCAAGCCAGATTTATATCAAGTTACTGCTAACATGCTATCAGAGGAGATTGATGTGCCTGTTTTTAAGTGGTAATCTTATTTAATACTATACATTCTTTCAGGAGATATCTTTCTTGAAGGATTACTAGTCAACGGTTGGCTTTCAAAATTAGCTTTTCTGTGTGGTCATGTAGAAAAACCAGTAGCCATTTGGGCCTTCAACACAAGTGAGTGAAAGCATATTGTTTATATCTATTAGCATAGCAGCAATATTTGTCATCCATCTGTTTTACTTTGTTCTTTCAGTGTTATATTCATCAAAAGAAGAGCTCCGCCGCTCTTCTAGCGACTTTTGGTGTGCGATTCTATCTTCTGAAAGGGAGGTAAACTTGTTTGATATGTTTACTCTGGGCATTGTACCATTTATAAAAATTAAGATTGTTTGTTTTAATTCCTATATTGTCTGATATCTTATGATTCTCAATAATCTTTTACCAGGTTGATAGGTTTCCATTCAAAATTGATTGGTTTCCTGAATATACAGATCTAAGAAGAGCTCTTGACATTTTTGGGTTTCTCTTTACATTTTCATCCAGTGCCGAGCCTAATAATTTAGGTAACTCTTATATCTCTACTAGTTTATCTCTTCACTTTAGGATACTGATTGTCTTTGTAAAAAAATATGAATTAGTTAAGTTTCAACACTGTAAGTCTGAACTTGCAAGTGTTTATACATTAATATATCCATTAGATTTGTCTTATTTCCTTTTCAATTGCACCTAATGTAGAGATATTTTGCACTGTTTCAAGTGGATTAATCTATATCTTTGTCTTTTAGATTCTGACACTGAAGGACCACCTCAAAACATTAGATCTTGGATCAGATTTATCACTGCTTGTTGTCTGATAAGGTAAGCAACAGTCAAAAGTAGTGAGTCTCCTTAGAGGACAACCAAAATGATTTTTCTGTTGTATGATTCCTTTGTTAGTCATCATTTGAGTTTAAGTTTGCAATGAACCTGATTAGATAGTCTATGGATAATTCAAGTAACAATATTTTTAAAGTATGATGGTGTCAACTAATATCTCTTGATTCTCATTGCAGGAGTAAAAAAGCTATCTTTTCTGCTGTAGAAGCTGAAGAGATAGTTGAAATTATTATTTGTTTATTCCTAGATCGCCAGTTTCAGGGTTTGTTGGTGCTGTTGAATGACTGCATGGAAGCAATTGTGAATTACTTTACAGACCAGGAATGGTGCTCAAGTTGTGAGAACATAGCAAAATTCATTGCTTGCAGGTTATTACTATTATTAATTGCTCATTTGCTATTGCTATTATATGTTGGTAAGAATACATAAACATTTTTTTGTCAGTAATATTACTTTTAATGTGTTAGCTGAACCCTCAATTAAAAAGGTCTAGGCTTAAGTAGAATTAAAGGGTTTAGAAGTGGACTAGAACCAAATTTTGATGGTAATAGAAAATATAATTGTATTCAGTGATAATAAAAGGGGATGCAGAGTTATTTAGAGCCAGTTGTGAGTTGTGGGAAGGGAAATGGAAGGTAGAGAACTGGGTCTCTTTCATACCCTGTGAAGGAGAGAAGTGTACTACTTGTGTTTTTGATATTTGTTCTGTATGAGTATGACTGTATCACATTGATACTGCTGATACTTATATTCAGGTATACTTCTATCAACATCTTGGTCAATCATTAATAATACTCAAATTGCAGCGTAAAAATTTGCCTATGTATCTTGTAGCTACAGTTTTCTTCATGTTTATGGATGGGTCAATGAATGAGAAAACTTAATAGAGTTTTATACGTTCTCAAACCCTTTGTACGGTTAGCTTTAATGGAATTAATGACATAGTGTGTACTGCAAATGAACAAGTTAAACTGTATGCTGATACGTATTCTCTACTTATTGCCCATTGGCCTTTTATATTGTGATTGCTTATCTTCTCTTATTCTTACTTTCTTGTATGCGCAGAGTCTCAAAAGATTTGAATTGCATCCAAACTGTTGAATGTATTTCAGAAGCAAGCTCTCGTAGCAAGCAACTTAGGAGTGCTGTTGCCTATCAAACACTGTTTACTTGTTTTGATGGAGTATGTTGCTTGCCCTTTTCTTATCAAGTTCATTTATGCTTGTGCATATAAAAAAAAGGTCCTGGTCATATATGATGGAAAATTACTTTGTGAGAAGTTATACATGAAATCTGTTGTTTACCTGTTTGAATATTTAGGGATTTTATGATAAAATTAAAAATTTAGCAACGAAAATCCATAATCAAAGTTATGAAAATTTATGCATTTTTCCACTCATTCTTGTTTTGGTATTAACAAACACCTCTAAAGCATATTTGATCTGAAATTTTTCCGCCACTAAATTTTCAAAACAGGCTCTTAACATTTCAATATTCATTAATCTATTCTATTATGCAATATAGAGTATAGTCTTGTTTGAGTGTAGATCTATTCACTAATTGTATAATGTATTTTGTTTTGTTAGTGGAGGTTTCATTTCCATTTAAAAAGCTTTTTGTTTATAACACTTGGCAGAATGTGCTAGCCATTAGCCAACTTGACTCGATAACAAAATGCAATCAGAAAATTTTGTCAAACAAGTCAGCAATGAATACAACCAAATAGATTTGCTTCTTAACTTTCAGAAAGCGAGATTGACATTTTTGTCCTCAGGTCAACAGTGGAGAAGAGATCCTCAGATCACTTACTGCAATTAACTTCAAAGACAAAAGTTGTGATTTCTTCAAGATGTATATACATTTGGTTTTGATAGAGAATTGGGTTTTGTCCAACTCATTAATTGAAGACAATCCAGTAATCTATGAGATGTTCTGTCGTTATCTTCAACATTGTTCTACCTTAATTTCAGCCACAAACCTACGATCATACGCATCAAAGGTGAATGAAACAACTTTCTTATTTTTTACCCTTGATTTGGTTACGGTGTGATTTCATGTACAGAAATAATTTTTACAGGTTCGTCATAGGGCTGCATATCTTCTGCATTTCTCCATCTACAAATGACTGGTTTCAGGTACAGAAATTTTTTTTCTTTTCAGGTTCGTCATAGTGACTATTTACCAATGTTTAGCATTCTTCCCTCACAAACTGCCACACACAAAAAAACATACATTTCCATTAAGAATGCATCTTCTCTGATTTGACATTTATTTGTATTAAACATTTTTGCCTTCACAGAACAGAGAGAATCAGATAAACAGCTGCTTAATCTCACTCTTTCTTGTTTTTAGGGTGGCCAGAGATGGCCAAATCTTAAAGGGTGAAAGATTTAGAAATGCCGTGTTGCATTGGCACCTATCATATTTTGACTGTACATGAGATTCTTCAGACTCCCAGAATGCACTACTCTTGTTAAGCATGAGATGCTTTAATGCCATTCTAATAGCAAAGATGCGGGGTGAAATTGGTTCCTTTGCTTCTTGATGAGGTTCTGGCTGGCATGAATCAAGATTTTTTGTTCATCCTAAGTATAAGTTGCTATGTGCTAACATGTAACAACTTTTCTCATACATGTAACGGCATGTGTCTGTGCCCTTTAATGTTAAAGTCCAAAGTAACTTATTATTATTATTATCATGATCCAAAGGTACCTTATCTTCTGTGGTTTCTTTTGTGCCTGTTTCGTATCTCTAGTCAATGCTCCTAGTAGCTAAAGCGTGGAACTGCAAACTACAAACAAGTAGCTGTGGTGTTAAAACTCGTTTTAATTCTTTATCTCTTAAAACAATTCGTTTTAATCCCTTGATTTTTAAATTTTAGTTAATATTATTCTCTCATTACAGTTGTTGTTTTGATTTTGAAGTACGATCTCAAACTATTTTTTGGTTGAAAAAAAAATGAAATTTATTATTTTAAATTTACATATATGAGAATTACGAAACTCAGTTTATGTATAAATAAAAATAATTACGAAAATTGTTCAAAAAGTGAGTTCCATGAACGACAAAAACAGATTTGATATTAAATTTTTCAAAACCGAATCTAAATCAAGTTTTAGAGAAAAGACTACCACAACTTCAATGAAAATTGTTATATCTAGTATTTACTTCATTTTGAGAAATCAGTAGATCAACTCTAATAATTTAAATATTTATAGTTGATTCGTTCGGAGTGAATCTTAAAAGAAAAAAAAAATGTAAGAGTCTAGTGTAGTTTTTCTTTACTTAAAAAGAGTTAATTAAGATATTTAACCACTCTTAAGCATTAAAGTGAGTTGGATTTATGATATGGGTGGATAAAGTGAAAATTTGAAACAGGATGGTGAGTTGGGAGAGCCACCGCCACTTTTTGTTAATTTTGAAAGGGAGGTTCGGAAGGGCTTTGAATTAGGTTCGGACGACGCAACGGTAATTTCAGTTAAAGAAGCCGTTAGTCTCTTTTCGCTTTTCTTTTCCCTTTGTTTTCCTTCCAACACACTCCTTCGTTTATTCTCTTCGAATCGATACTCCAATTCTCTGCATCATCCATCACGCGAGGGGGAGAAAATGGCGAAGAAATCCATCGGAAGCTTAATGCGGAAGAAGCTTTCTGATATCACCAACAGCACCATCCCTCACTCCCAACAACTTGACACGTTTCCTTCCGAGAACAATTCCATTCAACAACTCCTGAAGGTACATTAATTTACTCTTTCACTTTTGTAATATCATTCTCTCTTTCTGTTTTTAATTGGTTGAATTGTGATGCAGGAAAGGACGGCGTTGATCCAACTGCTTGCGGAAAGAAAGTATCCTCTCGTGCTCCTTTTAGGATCTGAATCGAAAGCATTAAAGTGAAATGTTAATGTTAATTGAACTAATGTTGTTTCAAAATTGAACAGTAAGATTATTGAAGTGAGTGGCGCGGCGCTGCAGAGGCTGAGAGGCGATGTGAAGAAGCTGCAGCTTCAAAACTGGAACCTCGCTCAGTCAAATAGCCACCCAGGCGCTTCGGCAACATCAGATGAGACTCAACCCCGAGAAATGTGTGTTTGGAGTTTCGGGCGGCAAGTTCTTAAGGGCTTCCAAAATTTATGTTATTTATTCCAAAATTAATTTCATCTACTTTAAAAGTAAACGATTTTTAAGGGCTTCAAATAGATGAGATAGACATCGTCCAATTGTCACATGAAACCAAATTTTTCAACATTGAAATATGCATATTGTACCGGAGAGACCGTATCGGTCACGTGGGCCAACACGTGCCATTTCGTCAGACACCCATGCATAGCCACGAACAAGCATCACCATCAACGTCGGCTCGGCATGAGGCCGAGAACCGACATCAGTCTGGTTAATGCAAATATGGACCATCATCATTCATCGAGTCGGCTCGGTCAGGTACCGTTCCGACATAGAACATACCGGAAGTATCCAGGCTGCCGTATACGGACTAGACGGTTCGGTCATTTGCCGTTCCGACTAGTATTGATTAGCCGGCTCGGCCTCTTGCCGAAGGGTTAAGCAAGTCATAACAAGTAATCACAATCAAGAAAGGTAAGTACATGATTAAAGCCTAAACGACCAATTAGTATCGTATTACCTAATTTGGTAAATATCTGAGAGGGCCCATCACGCTCAGGCCCATGTCAGATGCTATAAATAGGTCACACGTAACAAGGTATGTCACTGTTCATT